GCACTTTCTAGACTTTCTAAGTTAGGTGGAATAACTGCAATTTTCAGGATATGCATATCCTTAAGAATAGATAATATCAAGTAATAAATGACGTTATTCAGGAAGTTACGTACAAAGACCCAAAAGCCTTATTTAAGGAAGCTGCCCTTTGACTTGACACCCTCCCGAATACTTTTGTTATATCGCTCTGGAGAGTCCTTGCATGTTCTGCGCGGGTATCATGGGTAACGCGGCTCCATCATCTCCTTCGACTCCTGCAGGTGACGGGTTTGATAAAGTCACCGGAGATCCTAATTTTAATGCTAATTGTGTTGACCCACGTTCGCCCTCAGATGGAATCATTAGGACACCCATAGTCATGGTAAATTCGCCCGGGGACTTTGCAAGCAAACGACCATGTAGGCCTCTAATCCAATTAATATTTCAACTAAAGGTTTGCCAGTGCCCTTTGACACTTCGGACTTTGAGTCCATCGACGGCGTGGAGACCGAGGACGACTCTCTTCATCGTAACGTGGACACGTCCGCTTTGTCCGACACGGTCGCAGCAGGGACCTCTAATAGGAAAGCCGAAGGTCATTAGTTGTACTCTTTCGTTTTTTGATGTTAAATCCTTATTTATACCAGAGCTAGTTTACCCTTTGAAGCTACTTCTGCGGTATACCACGGGTATATCTTACATGCGACTGAACTTCGGTTCTAATATTATATTAGAACTGACTTTCAATTCAGTAGAACCCATATGGGTAAAGTGCTAATTTGCTGCTGTCCAGCAACTACATTAGCAGCGTTTTTTCCACCAAATCCCCCGAGGACAGTGCCTCTCAATTAAAAACTTCCAATTGCGAGGCCTTTTTGGCGTTAACTAACTGTTTTCCTGCTGTATGCAATCAAACCAACTATCCCGCATGCATAAGTAATATTTGTATGATGCGAAGCAGTCAAGAAAGCAGCTTGTTTAGGGCAGCGTAGCCTATCTAGCAGCATAAAAGTACCTGTATGAAACCCCTTCCATTTTGTTAGATTTATGGTCTGATCACAGATACCAGTAAATTAACTGCCATCTTTAGTTAATTCTACCGGCCACATGTCCTTGAAACTATTGCTTTTATTTTTATTAAGTCTGCATTTCTTGGCCGTGGTCCGTCATTTCTCTATCATGTGGATGACGCAAGACGGTGTGCCGGTTTTTGAATTTTTATTCATTTGCATTCATCGGATAAAGGACGAGGGCAAGCATTTCAGGCCAGCTGTTGCTTCCAGCCCCTCAACTATAGCTAATTTCACGGTATTCCCGAATGGCCAACCTTCTGCAGCCGTCTATAGGGTGCTATTTATTTCATGTAAATATTTTCGAATTTGCTAAAATAATTAATCTTAGACTCTGCGTCAACTATGTTCCTTCTAACCCAGTTGAAATTAATTTGAATGGCTCGGTTCCTTTACTGCAGACCCCTAGAGTGTTCCAGTAAAGGCTCTTGACGAGCTAGGAAGATATGGAAATCACACGCGGTATCCCATCAACGCCAGTCCATGATTCACCCAGAACAATGGTAAAATGTAAGCAGGTTTCAAGCAATGTGGTGGGGCTACAGGGTTTCTCTTTGTCCCACTAATTTTAGCTAATAGTTTGGGACTTCCTGTGCAGCCTGCCCTTCTGCAGTCATGTGTACCAAAGATTCACACTAACGTTAAGGGGTCGCATAGTCGTATTTCAAATAGAATATAACTTTCGCAGGGGCTTCCACCACAGATTATGTCACGAATTGCGTCCGCCAAGGATTTTTGCTCCTTGCTGCTTTGCTATATCAAAGAGTGCGCTCAGTCTGTTTATGCACTGAACCTACAACCCCCTCTCCGATGAACTTCATGGGTGCAAAATGTTTTATTAAGTAGCACTCATGCCATTCGACGAACAAAATCACAATGCTGCTTCCTCACCGCAATATAAGCAGTTTCTTGAAGACGAAGCCAGACCGTTTGGGCAGCCCACAACAGCCAAACATAATGTCAAGTAAGCGAGTAGTTGTTACCTAGGAGCTACCATTGCTTACGTGGGCGATAAAAGAGGGCTCGTGCTGACTAACAATATTTTTGGCGCTGCTTCAATATTGTTCAACAGTAAAACATTGTCTTAACATAAAATCCGAAACAGTAATATAACTGCCTTTGGCCATGTGCATACCTGCAGTGTGAATACATTCTTGCTTGTACTTGACCCGATTAGCTCCTGTTGTTGGATGAATCGCCTTCACGGATGTCACAGATAGCGGCGGCCCATTGGCGGCGATCGGAAGCGAGCTCCTCGCAAATGTTAACCCATTGTTTGATCCAGTGTGGCAAGCCGTAAACGGTTAGGAGGCCCATCCGGTCAACGTCCGACTTGACGGTGTTGAGCCATGTCTTCAGTTGACCGCCATGTCGGTATCTCCA